GGCCAAGAGGCTGTCAAGTGCCAGCCCTTCATCTGCCCCTCTCTGCACTGCCATGCTGTTCCTGCCCTCTGCCTTGGAGCTGCCTCCCACCTCCTGGGAGCCTCCTGCTTGCTGTGCAAGGCAGGGGAAGAGGAGGAGGGAGTGCTGATATCTGGGTGCCCTTCTCTTCTCCCCCGTACCCTATCTCCACAGAACAGAGGGGGATAGGGATGAAGAGAGTTTGCTGGCTGCTTTTGGGAGTGGTGCAGCGCCAGGGTAGGGGTGAGCCAGCCTTAGCACCACAGTGCCATCTTCCAGAAGCCACCTGTGGGAAGTGATGTCCAACTGAAGCCTGCATTCCAAACTCCTGCCCTGGTCCTGAACCCCTCCTGCACCCCAATCTCCTGCCCTAAACCTGAGTCCCCCTGCACCCAAACTCCTTTCCTGGGCCTGCACCCTGAACCCAATCCTGTACCTCAACCCCTGCCCCAGGCTCAGCTCAGAGCCCCTTCCACACTCCAAATCCTTGGAGTCTCCAAGAGCAGAGTCTGCATCCCCAGCCTGAGAAAGGTAAATGAAGGTGGGGGAGGGAGGGAGGATGGAGTGAGCGGGAGCAGAACCTCGGAGAAGGAGGCGGGTAGGGGCGTTTGGGTTTGTGGTAGATTCCGGGTTGCTCTTAAATTCAGAAGCGATCTTGTGCTTCCGAAGGTTGGAGACCCCTGTCCTAGCACATGTCTGTCTGGTGTGCGCCAGGCGGCAGCCCCTATTTCAGCCCTTCCATAATCTCCGGGAGTGGTTCTGGCTGCACTTTTCCCCTCATCTTTTTTTATTGGCACACCCTGTCCGTGGTCCCACAAAGTCGCGGGATCCCCTCATCGCCCTCCTCCTGGCATTGGCCAAATGGCCGTCTACAGCACCCAGGGGAAAATGTGAAATGAGGGGGTGCTCTGTGACTGTGGGGTCTGCTTCCTTCCTTCCTGGTCTCATGCAGAGTTCCTCTGGGCAGCGTCTGCTGGCTGCCTAGGCAGCTTTGGGGAGCAGTGGGCACTGTCCGTGGTCCTCTGCTCGATGTCCCCCCTGGATCCCTCATTCTGAACCTGCGACCACCACTCCCGTCCCTTGTTTTCCATAGTGGTCTCAAGCATTCCTTTGGATTCCAGGCCTTCCTGCAAGGCTGGGGGAGGGGCCTTTACAAGTGGGTGGGCTTGTGCCTGCTAATCTCCCAGGTTTTCCCGTAACGCCTGACGGCTGAGGCCCAGGCTCAGCTAAAGGGAGGGAACTCAAGTCCCTGTTCTTGTCAGCATCCTTGCAATAGTGTATTGGCATGTGGCTACTAAGCGGGGCAGCAGAGCCATGCGATGCTGATGAGGAACTGGCTTTTTTCAGCAAAGGGAAGCTGCACTTTTTGAGTGGAAAACAACAAGGCAGCGGATGTAAAATGACTGCAGCTGAATCTGGGGTGGGGTGGGTGGGAACATGAGTATGGAGGAGGAAAAGAAAAGAAATCTGAGATTCAACAAGGTTGGGGACAGAAGAATCCCAGGCACTGCTGCAGACTGGGGACCGACTGGCTAAGCAGCAGTTCATCAGAAAAGGGCCTGGGGATTGCAGTGGATGAGAAGCTGGATGTGAGTCAACAGGGGCCCTTGTAGCCTAGAAGGCTAATGGCACATTGGGCCTCAATAGGAGGAGTATTGCCAGCAGATCTAGGGAAGCAATTATTCCGCTTTATCAGCACTGGTGAAGCCACATCTGGAGTATCCCCACTACAGAATGGATATGGACAAATTGGAGAGAGTCCAGTGGAGGGCAGTGAAATGTACTAGGGGGTTGAGGCACATAATTTAGTCTGAGGAAGAGAAGAGCGAGGGGGGATATGAGAGCAGCTTTCAACTACCTGATGATGGTTCTAAAGGGGATGAAGCCAGGCTGGTCTCAGTGGTGGCACATGGCAGAACAAGGAGCAATGGTCTCGAGCTGCAGTGGGGGAGGTCTAGGTTGGATATTAGCAGGGTGGCGAAGCACTGGGATGGGTATTTTTCAAGCCCAGTTTGACAAAGTCCTGGCTGGGATGATTTAGTTGGGCTTGGCTCTGTTCTGAGCAGGCTTGGACTCGATAACCTCTTACAACCCTAATCTTAGCTGATTCTATGAAGAAAGGGGGAATTCTGGACGATATTATAAAAGTAAAAGAAATCCAAGCTGTTGTCTCTCATCCTGTTGATCATGCTGAGTATTGCTGTACTTCCGTGCTCACAAGCTCGTCTGGATCCTCCTCCTATGCTCATGTTGCTAACCTATTCCTGGCTCTATGTCACTGCATCTTCACTGCTTCTTTTAGCCATCTGGCTCGATTGACACGAGCACAGGTCTGTCTACCCCAGTTACAGACACATCTGTCATAGCAGCATAGACCTACTGTTTGCTCATAGGTCATACCCCTCTGCCACACGTCATCTGTCTTTATCTTTTTAAATTGTTCATACTTGAGCAGAAGGACTGCAGCCTCCTCGGTCTTTGGAAAGTGCCTCCCAGCACAGTGACGGTCCCACCAACAATCTAAACAATGAAAAGGATCTGAGGGAAGGGACAGTAATGCTAGAGGAGAAGCTGGGGATCCAAAAAGAGGAATCGGTAAAACAGTGGGGGACTTTAGCTCCTTATTGGTGAACGGCAGAGTTGTTGACTCGAGTCCCACGACTTGAACTCGACTCTGACTTAAGTCGCCTAGGTGACTCAACTGGAGACTCGACTCGAGTTCATTGTTTGTGACTTGAGACTTGACTTGAGACTTGCTCGTTTTGTTAAATCGACTTGGTGAAAAAATTGTCCGAAAATGCCGATATTGACAGCTTGTACAAAAGTGACTTGACATTTGTAAAATGAAGACTTGAGACTTGACTTGGACTTGAGACTTGACTTGGACTTGACAATGATGACTTGAAGACAACACTGGTGAACGGCTTGTAGAAAAACTAGTATAGAATTTAATAGAGAAGTATAAACCTGTGATAGAATTTTGCAGACTGGTTTAAAAGCCAGAAAAAAGGATCTTCTTATATATACAGGGCTTGACAAATAACACAATCTACTCGCCTGTGGTGAGTAGATTGCAACCCGGAAGAGCTGGGTTCGGGCGATCTGCGCATGTGCAGATCGCCGGACAGCGCGGCTGGCGAACGGGGCTCGCCGTGGTTCGGCAAGCCCTGTATATATATATGTGTGTGTATATATATATGTTAGAGTAATTTCTATAGAACACTGTTTCCATCCTATTACATTTTGTAGAACTTTTTCACAAGGGTGGCTTAAAAATTTGTAATACAGTAAAACTCCATTAGTCCGGCATCCAATGCTCCGGCACTCCTGATGGTCTGGCACCATCAGGAACCCGGAAGTGCTCGAGGCAGCTGGACAATTGAAGCTGCTCTGTGCCTGGCTTCCCCGAACAAGGAGTAATGGGCTTAAAGTGCAGCAGGGGAGGTTTAGATTGGACATTAGGAAAAAATTCCTAACTGTCAGGGTGGTCAAATATTGGAATAAATTGCCAAGGGAGGTGGTGGAATCTCCCTCTCTGGAGATATTTAAGAACAGGTTAGATAGACATCTGTCAGGGATGGCGCAGACGGAGCTTGGTCCCGCCTTGAGGGCGGGGGGCTGGACTCGATGACCTCTTGAGGTCCCTTTCAGTCCTATTATTCTATGATTCTATGAATCAGCCGCTGCTGAAACTGACCAGCAGCTGAATCGGG